CTCTAAATTTAAAAATTTCCTCGGGCCTTCGTACAAAATTTCAGAACAACGTACAAAATTACTGTACAAAATTTCAGACGATTTGCTTTAGTTTAAGCCCTTTACTCATTTTTTCCTAAGAAATCAGCCTTTCGCATGCTTGATTAATGCCTTTACCTAATTTGCATATTGTTGACATATGCAAATTAGGCAAAGGCATTAATTAAGCATGCAAATAGCTGATTTTGTAGGAAAAAATGTAAGTTTGCGTTAATAGTTAAAGGGTTTAGACTAACGCAAATTGTCTGAAATTTTGTACAGTAATTAAAAACCCAACAAATGTTCCATCTATTAACTCGAAATATGATTAAAGCTTTTAAATTTTGTGCGCAAGCCAGTTTTTTGTTTGTTGGAAAAGACACACCCCCTTGGTTCACAAAATTTGAGTTCGGGAAATTTTTTTCATTATTCTACGTTACAAGTACCCAAATATGCGAAATTGAGAGCACATTCATGCGATGAGAGCACAACCGTTTTGCAAAATTGCGGTGTCCGTCTCTCCGTGCTAAGTTTATCACAGCTACCACGGCAGACGGTCTGGTTTTATGCACCCAAGTGACTCAACGAGGACAAAAATACCGTCGTTCGAATCAGCGTGCGAAATTGTACATACAGATGCCAAATTCATTACTAAATAGCGGCAGTATTCTAGCGATTTATGGCCTTTGAAAGTCAAGCGAAATTGTATTGTTGACAATTGACAAATCGCTCAAAATTATTAGAACTAATTAAAAATGCAGTAGGTTTGATCCTTGATAACTTTCGTGTTGTTAGTTTTCTCTTTTTCGGCCGTATACGAATGGATTCGTCTGACTTTTCTCTTCATTTTGGTAGTATTTTGATCCGACAATAGTTTATTTTGAAGGTTTTAAAGCGAAGTTATGAACAAGCGTGCGGAACAACTGCCCGCCGACAGTAGGAATGTAGCGTACTAGAAAATGATATATCCTTTACTTGTAGCACAGCTCGTAGGCGAAACGCCGGAAAGTTTTATTTGTAAAGCACCGCATTTTAGTACCGTGTCTGGTTTACTCTGTTCTTATAAAAGCATGGTTACCATTTAGCAATCTTTTATCGAGTTTATATGTCATGACAATTGTTCCTGTGCATCCCTGTCTTTGTATTTCTGTCTTTGTCGGGCTATAATTTGTCATTTTGACTGCTTAACAGGATTTATTTGGCATTAATACGAATCAGACAAAGGACATTTAGGAATAGGTCTTCAACGTGCTGTTGATTTTTCGGCAATAATAGCGAGGCTAATAAACAAAACATGCATGCTTATTTTTCACCCTGCTCGGTTTCCTTTGTTCTTAGGGACCGGTCATTATTTGTGGCGGGGGGTGGCACCGAAGAGAAATGTTTTTCGTAGCAAAAATTTTGCTGACCCGACCATTAAAAAGTAAAAAAAATTGATTACCCAACCTCAAATATCAATTAAAAAATAAATGCCCACCCCTGGCCAAAAAATTTATAAAAGGTACCATTCAGTTGTCACATATGTCCTTTACCACTTCTGTGACATAAGTTTGATAACGGATTGTGAAATTTTCTACAGTCTGAAGTTTCATGTTGTCTGCACATGTAGCTACTTTCTTTGGAGATCCCATCGGAAATTGATCAAGATAATGACTCTGATTGATATATACTTTTCGTTGTTTCTTTACACATTTAGTAAATCTTAGTATAACACCAAGTTCATCAATTGCTGCTATTTTGCTAGCAAACCCGGGTGTTTTGCAATCAAAAGTGATGCAACTTGGATAGTGGAATAAGTTGATTACTGTAGGCACAGTTTTTGGCCACTTAATAGTCAAAGGTCATGCATAAATAAGAACAGTCTTTAATATTACCGCCTTACGGAGACTTTATATTAATTGTGCTACTCTAGGATCTAGAAGGTCCCAGAAGAACCATAGGTCCCACACTCGACTAGCAACATAATCAAGTTAGTTATGTTAATTCGATTCATTATATATAGGATCAATGTTAAAGGCAAGGTGGGCTATAAGCTATAATCATTTGTATGGCTTATACCGGGTGGCGCAAAAAAAAGTATAACTGTTTGATTTAGTACAGCGAACAATCTATAAGGGTTACATCCCTGAAATAAACGTAGCTGTATTCATAATAGTCTAACTTAAATTTTGAGCTATAGTATGTTTATTTACGTGCAATATTGACTGGGATATCGCCAAATAAAAATTGGAACGAAGTTTTGAAAATCTGACAAATTGGCTAAAAATGGCCTATTAAACTGTTTTGATAAATTTTAGAATTTCGTCAGACATATTCGCTTGTATCAATTTAATTTGAATTGAAACGTGTAACGAATGATTTTCCTTATTTATTTATTTGTTTTATTATCATTTGAAAAGCAACAAAATTTCGAAAAAGATGGCTCTTTTAATTAAGAATTGCTTCGCAGTATTCCATGTCCCATAGCTACAGGGAATTAAATTAGATCAACAACCGAACAATTTGAGACAGCTTCGTGAAGCGATTATTGCTGATTGCCATAACTTTTACCAGCAAATAAATCCAACGTTAATTCGTTCGATAGTATGGTCACACGTGCAAGAATATAGTTATTTAATTTTCCATGATAAACGCGTTATTTACTGCCGTTGTGTTCTTCATATATCGTTAATTCCTTTACTCGTATTTAATAGGCTATTTGCAGCTAATTTTGGAACGTTTTGAAATTGCATATTCAAATTGATTTACCAATATCTTGGGTAATACTAAACAAAAATGCATGTGTTATACATCAAAATTTAAGTTAGGCCTTCCTGGATAGGATAACATTTATTTGAGGAACGTAACACTTATAGTTTTTTCGCTGTACTAAATCAAACGCGTGAACTTTTTTTTGCGCCACCCGGTAGAAGGCTAATTGCCGTGAATAAATTGAATAATAAATGTAGCACAATATTAAATAGTTGTATGATGACGTCAAAGAAACTAGTCAGACTACATTTGCAAGTTTTGCAACTCTCATCGCTTAAATTCCCCATGCCTGAATACAAAATAAACAGTAAACAACGATTACCTTTTACATACCTTATATAAAACGGAGTTTTCATCCTTTCTAGAAACTCACTTCCTGAACTTTTGAGCGCAAAATATGTAATGTATTGAAAATGTATATCATATTCACAGCGGTTAATACCATTAATATATCACGGGCGCAATACAAAACAAAACACGAGAATTTTAAAATGTTTTGATTTGCAAATAAATAAATAATATTTGATGTCCTAAAAATTTTTAAATTTAACTCAACACAGACTGGTAAGTTCATGACATGTATAATTTACTTATATGTTGTTATATTGCAATTATGTACCCTACTCCTTTGAAAATTGTTTGCAATTGCATATGATGTGAACATGTGGTCATGTAATTTATAGTTGTGTCATGGATTTAATAATACCCCAATGGCTTCGAAATAGACAATGGATGGAAAAAGTCATGAATATTGAACTTATTTACCCTTTAAACACTTGATCGTCATGCGCATACAGTGTATTGTTTCGTTTGTTTCCAGAACCCCCTCAAGCAGACTTCAACTTTTTTTGTTAAATTGTATATTTTGCTTCATACACTGCATGTGTGTGTGTTTGTGGGAACACTCATGTTTGGATGCTTGGCGTAGGTTAATGGTAATTTCATTGGATGGATAGATAGATAGATAGATAGATAGATAGATAGAAAACTTTATTTAACCACGCTAACCCCGTCAACCGAAGCTGATTTCCACAGGGGGCGTGTATAGAAGAAATTACAGAAGTATAAAATTTAGAATAATTATTTACAAAATATTAGAATAGTATTAAAATAGTATTGGAGTCATCAGGAATATAGTTGTATATTCCTGAAATTATACCTCTAAACACCTAAAACAGCATTCCCTAAAATTTTAATTGTTTTCTTACATTGCCCTATATCGCTCGAACTCGCATTGCTTAAATTGCAGATTTTGCTTAAATCACCTAAATTTGCTTAAACTTGCATTATCTCGTTATCGCCCCAGAGTAGGGCCTACTGTTGCCATTGCTTTTTAGTCCCCAATACTTCAGTGAGTCATGCTTTGGAAATGACAATAATTTTTTATTACCCAACCCTTGAGTTGTTTTGTTTTTCATTTACCCAACCTTTTACTTACTCAAAATTTGGTTTACCCAACCCTTTTCTCTTCGGTGCCACCCCCCACCATAAATAATGACCGGTCCCTAAAGCTTATTAAAATCCAAAAGACAACATGCATGCTATAAAGAAGACACTATAGCAAAATTATTGTTACGACTAGCAAATTAGTGCTATATAATGATTAAATTATTTAAACTGATTTGGAAGTGGAATATTAATTCTTACTTCAACATTCAATATTCATGTTCCTTCATCATTATTCAGATTCAAGCTATTTCCGCCTCCACCCCCGAAACTGATTAATTTCAAAGACAAACAATTTATCGGCAAAGTCAAAGAGAAACAATAAGCGAGAGGTAAAACGTATAAACATCGTGCAAAACTAAACGGTATGTTCAACAGACAATAACCGAATTCTTCACATACGCTGGTGATAAACAGTTTTCGTGTTTGTTAATTATATTACTTTTGTCTGTGGAATCAAGACTCGCAACAATACGGTGCTGTATGGTTTCCTTTGTGATTTGCTTATCGCTACCCTGGATTCCAGAGCCTTCGACAGTAAATAATAAATTGAAACGTCGCGAAGGCTCTGGTTCATGTGATTGGCACGGGGAGATTCTTTGATTAAACCGCGCCAATCACAAAACAGAATTAGTGGTTTTAGTACAGAATCTGTACTAAAACCACTAATTCTGTTTTGTGATTGGCGCGGTTTAATCAAAGAATCTCCCCGTTGAACCAGAGCCTTCGCGACGTTTCAATTTATTATTCACTGTCGAAGGCTCTGGAATCCAGGGTAGCTCATCACCTTTGGTTTTGTATTGTAATTTGCTCATCAATTATTGATGCAAGTTTAAAGTATTTTTCATCATCTTTAAAAAGGTTTTTGCTCGGTTACGTTTGTTCCAGAACCAGAGGTTAATTTATCATCATTGTATATATAAGTATTAGAAGTGGCGAAGTGAAAATAATCCTGAAACGGGCAATTGGAATATTACACCGCGGCAATCGGTTTAAACTGGGGTCAGATTCTGACTTTGTCTCCTGATTGTACTATTATACAAAAACGTTCGAGCTCTATATGATTGGTTCAGTTGAAAACTTGTCAAGTGTGAAGTTTGTTCCAATTGGTTATCAACCGGACTCCAGAGGCAGAGGTTTATTTTCCCTTCGCCATTCTAATATTATACGCAATGAAAATAAACCTCTGATGCCAGGGTATTCCTCGTTTTTTTTCTGAAAGATTTATTTGACGCAAATGACCAAAATTTAATACGTCATACACACCAGCACACATGCATGACTTGAAAAGAGCAGCCTTGTGAATGTTGTTCATGTTCGAGAGTAATTCTTTTAAAGGCGAAAGTTTCAAATTGTCCGAGGATGACCGATGACACACCTTTGTTATACACAAGTTATCTTATTCATTTTCGAGTGTATAATTCTTTGAAATCGAGATGTTTGTCAACACTAAGTAACGGGTATTAAATGTGTATACGTTGCGTTAATTTCGTCTCCATTTCTGCTGCAGCATCTATATAGTAAGTTCTCTATGTCACATTCGTTCGTGACAAAAATGTCAAACTCTGCAAAATTAAAATGAACGAATGTCCGTGTTGGAAAGAATTCCTGAAACTCACGTCGTTTTTCTTTGCCTTTGCGCAGTTCATCAACCCGGCGGTCGAAGTCATGGAAAGGGATATTTTTCTGTTTAATTTAAATTGCGATTGCTTTGGAATTAAGTGAAGTCAGTTATAGACTATAGTTGCGGGAAATTCTCATTAATAATCTCGAAAAGAAAACAATTCAGTTTGTTAACGTTGTTATTCAGTTTAACTTTGGATTCAAATTAACTTCGTCTTCGGATATATACTTATGAATATATGCGATTCGATTTTCTGAAAGTGACGAATTCCCACACTGTTAAATTCCAATCCTTTAACTTTATACAAGTGTAGTACAAATTCCGTGATTTTGTCGTTTTCTCTTGGTCCTTATAGACGTATTTCTTCAGAATAGTCGAATGTATGCCTTTCAGTAAGCGCCATAGATATCTGGTAAGCGACCCGCCCTCAATACAGAGTGCCAATAGCGAAGTTCAGACTCGAGGTACCTACTTCATCTTGCATGGATATTTTGGATCCGAGCACCACTATCCTTAGACAATGTTTTACGCTATTTAAATTATATCGCAAATCAAAATTAATCGCAAAAATATTTTTAGGGAACTGTTCATACAGGCCATTAAGGATGTCGACTTTCAAAATAATTGGACACAGAACCACATATCGTTTACACGCAATGGAAATCCAAGGAACGTCAAATACTCTGTAGTCTCGTTCCAACAGAAACAACAATGTTTTGTAGAAATTGGACAATGGGATTGCTTGGCTAACGCCGTTAACGAAACGTGCAAAGGAAACTTAACTCTAAAAGATACACTCACCTCTGGTATAAAGAACGATTTTCTTGGAGTTTGTGGGGCTCTTTGTCCAGCAGGACAATATAAGATTGTGGACACGCATTTTGCATCATGTTGCTGGCAATGTAAGAATTGTACTGGGAATAGGTACTCCAGAAAACCGGGTTCTTCAGCTTGTGAGAGATGTGAAAACGATGAATGGCCAACTGACAATCACACGGCGTGTGCTAAAGTAAAACCACAAATGGTATTCTTTACTGAGAATCCTGCTGGTATTATTCTGTTGTGTGTGAACATCGTCATCATCAAGATACTGATTGCTTTTGTCATTCTCATCATCAAATACAGTCAGTCAAAGATGAAGATATTTTCAGATCGTATCCTATGTTATATATTGTTGTTCGGCATTCTTATGTGTAACGTTGTCTCCATATTTGTGTTGACAGACGCGCATAAAGACAATTGTCTACTTATGGTCATTTTATCAAAGCTTGGTTCAACTTGCACGCTGGGAACAATTTTCATTAAAATAAATGATGTCTATAGAACGTATAAAAAGAAAATACTCAGAAGTAGGTGCAATTCTAACTTGAAAATGACTTGCCCCCTTTCCCTGACTAGATTTAACACGTTTATTTACAGAATCAATGCACTACAGGTTAAAAGCCTCATGCATGCAAGTTTAGTTTATTCGGAATACTTGGGCCTGGCACAATATACATATACTAATTAGAAATCAAGTTAAATCTTCCCCCACTAGCTGTCGTGCCCATTGACTTGAACTCTAAACTCTATAAGTGTATGAATGACCGGACGTAAGTTAAAATTCTAAATTCTATTCTTTTTAAAGTTATAAAATTTTCCAAGTCTACTCTGCATATTTTTTACAGATGATCCTCGATTTCTAAGCGAAGGTCTTAAAGTCATGGTGGTTATATGTCTGGTGATCATCGATGTCGCTTTATTATGGTTCAGCATCAATTTTGAAGGAAAAAATCGAAAAACATCCACGACTGTTTACTTTCCAACTGAAACAGGAAACACTGCGTTCGTCCACTGTGGATTTATAATTGAGTGAGAATACAATTTGTCAATTTCTCGTGATATAGTTGAAACACAGAAGTCCACGTTCTGCACCTCATAGGACATACTGTAGCATCCCGTATACGAGCCTTCGCCCAGACAGAAGGGAAGAAAGGAATATCGTTTGCTTTAAATTAATGAATTTCTCAATTCCCTTCTCAATACAGGTTGAGGCTAAATAATTTTCACGTTCCTGTAAAAGTTATGAACCCATCATTAGAGGAACATTATATAGCAGATGTTTTCACACAATTTACACCATCACTTACTACTTAGCCATATCAGTGTTGTATTTATCTAGGCCTACTACACGTCTATACACTCAGATTTGGCTAATTTTGATATATATTTTCACTCCTAATTTTCTAGTTACTATAATACTAGTTTGAGTATATTGTCAAAAGCACGCGTTTGTGTTCGTGTTCCGCTATAAGTTTATAATGGGGATAAATAGAGTACTTGGTTGTAAAGTAGTCGATCGTATACCTTGTCGTATACAACTCTAATTCAGTTCCTTTTTCGTTCTTTAGTTTTATCACGGGTGAAATATTTACCGTATTGGAAATCAGCTTCTATTGGGGACTTTTGCTCATCTGCACTCATCAGTCGTACTTAACCAGGAAAGTCACCGACAATGCACATGGTTTACGATATGTTTTCTTTGGATCTCTTGCACTATCAATAAACAGCATGACCATGATACTGGCTCATTCTTTCACAGATAACAACGGGAATACAAAAGAGTTGGTATACTCATTCTACCATTTGTTTTTTGCAACCGTTGCGTTGGCTTGTACCTTTATCCCCAAAGTGGAAATTCTAGTTTTTCATCCTGAGAAAGACGTGTTATTTGACGCCCTACGTGCAACAACCATGACCAACTCAAACTCCATGATGAGTATGAGCGAAAGAATAAAATCCTGCACCCAAACACCTAACCCGCCAGATACTCCTGAGAGTCGAGCTCCTAGCTCCTGACAGGGTAGTATATATAAAACATATTAACTTGTAGCTATATTTAACAACTATCGACAACTCTTATCTTGTTGTAACTCCATATATGATGCGATTAGTTAGCCAGCAATTAGCTATAGCTTAGTTCTCCTCGATAGCTCGTCTCGAGGTTGTGTTGATACACAAAGAAAATCTGTGTAGAAAGTTGAACTTCAGATACTTGGTCTTGAAATGTGATCCACGTGCTTGCTGCGTTTATGCTAGTGACAGTACTAGTACAGTGTACACGTGATTGACATATACTACCTTTCTTTTGCTCAAGTTTGTGCCAAAAAGTCCAATATTCAATAAGCTATGCCGACGAAAAGCGAAAGGTATGCAGTATATATAGTATACGTACGGTTTTTGCCGCTTTAGGTTTATTTATCTCTTTCTTGTTATTCAAATTCACAGGCGTAGGAGGGAGGAGGGCCTGGGGTCGGGCAGTTTGAATTTAAAACCCGGGCAGATTGCTTTTAAAAAATTGGCAATTGTACGAATGATTAAAGGTCAGAGCGGCGCGCATTAAAATGGTGGAAATAGGAAGAAATATGCTGTTTCAATGTATGTTTCGAAAATCGCCCCCCCCCCCCCGTCGACAGGAATTTTGGGTAATATACAACGAAAAGAAGAAAAAAATTGGGTCGGGCATTTCTGCTGACAACCAATGCAACCATTTTACCCGTGCTTATTCGATTACATTCGCCAGAATAACAATCGTACACGAAAAATCGCAATGTATCAACTGTTGCTACCTCTGGATAATGCGCTATGTTGGACCAATACAGATACTTTTTGATGAAATTTGAAAAAATACGAATGGCGTGACATATAAACTGAGAGATACGGGTTTATATTAACATTCGGCAAAATTTGAAATTGGCCCGGCAAATCGCAAAATTAATAGTATCCAAAATATTGAATATGAAGAAAATGTTGAATATACAATAGAACAGGCTCTTTATATTTAACAATTATTCGCCAAAGGCGAAGTGATTACCGGCGAATATTCAACGTTATCACTGAGAATAATTGTTTTAGCATAAATTTTTCATTAATAAATTCAAATATCAGTTTAATTAAAATTCAGAAATAAAACTGTTTTCGCGGCCAGGTCACGGTTTCACGGCCAGTTTCACATGCAGTGTTTCTTGTATACGCACACGCTTTCAAAATGCTTCTTGTGTGACTTTATTGCTTAATTACAAAGTTGTTTTTCTCGATTTCTGCTTAGAATATAAACACAATGACAGAGCGACTTTTAGCATTAATTTGTTCAGGAAATGGCTGAGAAATTTTGTAAAATGAAATGTAAAACTATATCGTTCGAAATAAAGTTTTAATACTGAACACTTTTCACTTTACAAGTTTCGAAAACCAGGGTGCGATAATTCGCGTACCAACGTACCGGAGGTACGCCAAATTTATGGTCTGGTACTTCTTTGTTTTTAGCCAAGTACCACGTAGGTACGCGGAAATTTACTATTCGCGTACTTACATTTTCCTTCTAGCAATAACTAGCAAACCTGCCAAAGTATTCAAAACCGTGAAGAACTTTAGCTGTACATGCATGTAAATTCCACGCATCCGACATATTTTGGGATCGTTTTCGTTGTAGTGTGAACACTAACATAATTTTTTTACCAATCATCGCGTGTTTACAAGTTATCGTTGTGTGGTGTGACCTGGGCTTAATTGTCAATGATATACCAAGGCCTACAAAAATATACCTGTGGTTCCGGTTCCCGACCGACCCTATTTTTTCTGCCGACCCTATTATTTTTTTTAACACGATTGTCCGTGCGACCTAGGCCTATTTTCTCCGGGTGGTTGCGGGCTGCTCGTACAGCGTGCCAAAACGGCGTCTGTTGTCACAATAATTATTGAACCAAATTGCCTAAATTCGTCCGTAGGAACTACGTATCTCTAGTTAATATTGTTGTCGGGACTCTACTGAAAATCGCCCAGCAAAAACCCGCCAAAACCATTTTTCCCCACCTACCTACCCTATTTTTTTCGCGATATGAAACCGGAACCACAAGGTTTTTTTAGGCCCAATGAGGAAAACTACACTGTATGTAGCTGAGGTCAGACTGTTAGCGCGCACCTTCGGTAAATCCACTGTAAATGAGCGATGGCATTCGAATCACAACGTCGACGCTTTGAAAACTGTTATATTATGTTGTACAAATACCATAATTAAAGATTCATTTGTACAAAATTGCCCATACATTTTTGCTTTTGGACCAATAAACTATACGTAGGTATAAAAACGCATGACTCGGAAGTAGTCTTAGGTACGTCATGACTCTTAAGTTTGTACCAGATCAGGTACGCGGCAAAAGTTGTCGGAGTACCAGTCAGGTACGGCTAAAAATATTGAATTATCGCACCCTGCGAAAACACAATACTGCGTCAGGACACCGTACAGCACAATGAAAACACGACGTATCAAAAGAAATAGTATCGTACAAATTGAGATATCTATAGGATACAAAACAAAATTGTTGTAAAAAGAATATCACGGCTTTTCCCAACAGTCGGGAGAGTTTTTGCTATTTGTTTGAAGTTTTAATTAAAATAAGTTTTAAATTGTCCGTGAATATGTTTGACACAGTAAAATAATAAAGGAATCCTACAACATTTTGTGCTTTTTTCGTTTTCTGGGGACGATTTTTTTCAATATTTCGTCGATTTTGAAACCAAATTTGCCGAATCATTCTTTTTGAAAAGCATTATTTACTAGTCAGGTGGTAAATAATGCGTCAGATTTACTATAGTCAACTAGACAATGAGAACGCGCGAAAGCTCATTTGATATGCAAAATTTATACTAATACAGATTATATTTCGATGTAATTTAGGTATAGCTGTGAAAAACGTTTACCATGCATGCACCATGCATGCACAACAGATACTTAATTATACTTTCCTTCTAGATTATTTAGGACGATTCATTTGTAGTTCTGGTATGTGAATAATACAAACGCAATTTTTGGCGTCTCTTAACCGCCAACCAACGTCCCAATCGATGTTCTTG